TGTATCCTTTCTCTCCAGCTCTAGGCAGCTTCTGTCTCTATAGATTTTCCTATCCTAGGTATTTTATGTAAACAGAATCATACACTGCCTGTGTGGGTTCTTGTGACTGGCTTCTTTCACATAGCATAAGTTTTAAAGGTTCATCCAAGCTGTAGAATGTATCGGTTGCTTCTGTCCTTTTTGTTGCCAAATGATACTCCATTGTATGGATATACCACATTTGTTCATTCTCTAGTTGATGGGCATTTAAATTGTTTCCACTTTTTGGCTGTTTGATAATGCTGCTGTGAACATTTATGTACAAGTTTGTGTGAACATATGTTTTCCTTTCTCCTGGGCAGATACTCAAGAGTGGGATTGCTAGGTCATTAGGTAACTATTTATTTAACATTTTGAGAAACTGCCAAACTTTTTCCCAAAGTGGCTGTGCCACTTTCAATTCCTGCTAGTAGTTGTGACAAAGCAGTGCACAAGGGCTCCACTTCATCCTCATCTTTCCCAACTCTTTTTTTTGTATCATTAATGTACAATTACATGAGCAACATTCTGGTTACTAGACTCCCCCCATCCAACTCTTGTTACAGTCATTCTGGTGGATGTGAAGTAGCATTTCATTGCAGTTTAATTGGCATTTCATTGATAATTAATGATATTGGGCATCTTTTCTTTTGCTTATTGGCCATTTGTATATCTTTTTCAGAAATGTCTGTTTGAATCCTATATCCACTTTTTAAAACCATGTTATTACCTTCTTATTATTGACTATTGAGGGTTCCTTATTAATTCTAGATACAAATCCATCATCAGATATGTAATTTGCATATATTTTCTCCTAATCTGTGAGTTGTCTTTTCACTTTCTTGATGAACATTTGAAGAACAGAAGTTTTAAATTTTGATAAAGTCCAATTTATTGGGTTTTTCTTTAATTGCAGGCACTTTTAATGTCATCTCTCTGAAATCAATACCCAACCCAAGGTCAAAAAGATTAACTCCTGTTTTCCTCTAGGAGTTATATAATTTTGTTGCCTGCATTTAGGCCTTTGGTACATTTTGAGTTATTTTTTGTGTATGTTCCGAGGAAGGTGTCCAAATTCACCCTTTAGCACTTGGATATCCACTTACTTCAGTACCATTTGTTGCAAAAACTAGTGTTTTACCCCACTGAATTGTCCCGGCACCTTTGTTGAAGATTGAGAGTTTGTTTATAGCATGACAAAATGTTTTCCTAAAGTTAAAAGTTGCTACCATTGGGCCTTAAATTTTAGCCTTTTATTTTTCTTGGAGCTTCTTGATCAGTGAGGGAGTCCCTTCTCAGGCATCATCTCATTTTGAGTGAATGGGTTTTGTCTTTAAAACTTTAGGATTGTTGGTGACTTTTTCATTGCAAATGTTGTTATCGTGGGTCTTCTACCCAATGATTCTACCCTGACACAACTGTGGTGGAGAGCCAGTCAGAAGCTGTAACAATAACCCAGGTCAGGAGGTCGGTTGGAGGCGGTAGCTTGAATGTAGAAGGATCTGCTTCTGTTGTGTCATAGAGCTGGCCAGATTTGCTGGTGATTGGATATGGAGGTGGGTGAGTGAATCACGCATGCCTCCAGGTGTGGGCCTGATACACTGAAAAGTTGAGTTGGCATTAACCAAGATGGGAAAGACATTGGTAGGGCTCAGTTTGGGGAGGAGATGAGAAGAAGTTAGGATCCCAGCCTTAAATGTGTCATGTTTAAGATGGCTGTTGGTCAAATGAGGCATTGAGTGTGAGCCAGCAGCCTCTCTCATTTCTTGGAACTTCCATCCCTCACAGGCTTCTCTCTTACTATTTAAGATCTCCTAAAGTAGGAATTTACCCAAAGAATAGAAGCTCTCAGATTCAAAAAGACATATGCACCCCTATGTTTATTGCAGCACTATTTACAAAAGCCAAGATATGGAAGCAACCTAAGTGGCCATCAGTAGATGAATGGATAAAGAAGATGTGGCACATATACACAATGGAATACTATTCAGCCATAAGAAAGAAACAAATCCTACCATTTGCAGCAACATGGATGGAGCTAGAGGACATTATGCTCAGTGAAATAAGCCAGGCATAGAAAGACAAGTGCCAAATGATCTCCCTCATTTGTAGAGTATAACAACGAAGCAAAACTGAAGGGACAAAAAGCAGACTCACAGACTCCAAGAAGGGACTAGTGGTTACCAAAGGGGAAGGGTGTAGGAGGGTGGGTGGGGAGGGAGGGAGAAGGGGATTGAAGGGTGTTATGTTTAGTACACATGGTGTGGGGGTCATGGGGAAGACAGTGTACAGAGAAGGCAAATAGTGAATCTGTGGCATATTACTACACTAATGGACAGTGACTGCAATGGGGTATGGGTGGGACTTGATAATATGGGTGAATGTAGTAACCACACTGTTTATTCATGTGAAACCTTCATAAGAGTATATATCAATAATACCTTAATAAAAAAAAAGGTCTAACGTATAGAAAGCATATTAGTACTGAGTTATAGGCAGTACTAAATTTTCTTCGCAAAACCAAATGTATATCTACAGAAAATTGGAAACACAAATTGTGGCATATCCACACAGTGGAATACTACTTACTACACAGCAGTAAAAAAAAAGAATTATGTACTAATACATGCAACAAACTAGGTCAGTCACAAAATAATTAATGTTGAATAAAAGTATGATTCCACTTGTGTAAAATTCTAGAAAATGCCAATTAATCTGTAGTGACAGAACAGATTGGTGGCTGCCTAAGGATAAAGGGGATCAGCGAAGGGCAACTAAGGATAAAGGGGATCAGGGAAGAGCAACTGAGAAAGGTTACAGTGGAGTCCTTAATACTTTTTTGAAGTGCACAGGGTTCTTGAGACCGGGGTGTTTGGGAACCTTTGTGCCGTAGTCGGATGTCAGCAGGCCCTTGGACGTGGCACTAGCTGGTGCTGAAGGGGTTGTACAGGACTCTCTTCTCCTTGTTTCCACGTGTTACATCCTGGCATCTCAAGGGAAAGTTCAGCAACATGTTGATCATTGAATAAGTATTTAGCTTCCCCAAGGTAACTAAAGAACAAGAGAATTTCCCTAAGAAGAACTAATTCTGCTTCTTTAGGGGAGAATAAGTTAGTGGGTAAGTCGTAATGTATTCATTAGAAAACATGAGTCTTGTTATTCATAGGTATGCCTGTACATGAAAGGTGGTCTTATTGTGAGCTATCAGAAGCCTCTCTAGAATGGTTGAGGGCTATTAAAAATGATGAGGCTAATTAAATGGGCTCCTTGTGGAGGATTCAGAAATGTTCCCTATGAACCTCAGTGTCAGGGAGTGCTTGGGGCTTGAGGCAGGTTGTTCCTTTGCTCCGGTTACCAAGAGGCTGGTAGCACACAGAGGTCAAGAGTTTCTTCTGGGAGACTTGGGGAAAGCTTCCAGGAGGAGGCATCCTTTAAGAATTCCAGATATAAATGAAAACGAAGGTATTTTCAAAGAAAGCAATCACTGAGAACAAGAGGAAGAGGTTGGAAGCTCCTAGGTTTAGGGAACAGAGAGAGATCTGGTAAGTAGGTTGTGGGAGCTGGGAGAATGTATAAGGAGAGAGGAAACTGGAAAGGAAACTGATAGGCAGGAAAATAAATGTGAGCTGGGTGGAGAGAAAATTAAGTCCAGGATAGCCCACTTACAAGGGACTCAAAAAGTTAACAAGTTAAAACTAGAAATCCAGAAAAGACTCAGAGTTAGAGTTAATCAGCTAAAGCTCAAAAGGCCAGGAGCAACTTGGCCTGGAATGTTTGAATACTCCCCAGATAAAGAAAAGTATCTGAGCACAGCCCATTTCTTCATTGTGTCAGTTAGATCATGCCATTGTAAGATCTACTTCAGCCTGCTTAAAAGGCCCAGCTACTAACAGTATAATAAAGACAGGAAAAATTCCATCTTAAAGATAAAATTGCATTTTAAAACCCAAGAAATTAAGTAGTATTCTTAACATGCTCTTTAGCAAACGGACAATAAACTCAGCCCACCTTGGAGTCAGGGCAGGCAGTCTTGATTAATATTCTCTCAGACCAGGAAACTGCTACCCTGGGAAGGACCAGAGCAGTACATTTTTTGTGTTAAGCTAATTTTGCAGAATTACCTGGAGGACTGATAAGAAACTTAATGTCTCATCAAAAATAAACATCCGGAGACCACCTAACAAGTCCACACCTCTAGCCCTTTGTCACATTTCTGAAAAAAATCCTTAAAAGGGGAAACCCCCAACCTTTCAGTGGTACCTCTCTCTGAGGTCACCCACACATTCTTAAGTGTGTAAATTTTTGCCTTTATTTAGACGTTCTCCCAATTTTTCAGGGCACCTCCCCTCCCTGAAACCACCTATACTTTTCTCTCTAAATAACTTTAAATAAAATTTTTATGCTTCACTACAGTGTCTCTGCCCTTGTCCCCTTCATTGTGGCAGGGACAAGAACAGAGGAAAATAAACAGTGCCCCCCCTAACAAAACCAGTGAGATCACTGAAGGCCTTTCTGTTTTAGTGAGAAATTTAGACTCCATTTCTGCAGTGGGGGCTGGAGTTCAAGAGAATTGGATGTGTGTCTTAGGATGATAACTCTGTGGCATCATAAGGGGTCCTAGAGCTGGGTAAAGTAGGAAACAGCACCTTTACATTTGACCTTGAGTGTGGGTAGGGCAGTGGGAGGCATACTTAATGGAATTTATAGGATATATCTCCAATTAGAGGGAGGGGAGAAACCTGCCTGGGATGCAGGGGTTGGGTGGTCATTATCTGAGCCAGAGAATATCCTGGAGGAAAGCAGGTTTGGCACAGAAAGGTGGAGGTAGACTTTCCATTTTCTTAAGGATGTATTTTGATGAGCAGAAGCTTTTAATTTTACTAAAGTCTAATTTTAATCAGTCTTCTCATCCCTCATGTTAATTGTACTTTTCTAAAAGATTCTGTTATTTATTTAAGACACAGTCCTCCCTTCCTCTATAGATATCATTGACCCTGCCATCCTGCGCCCGGGCCGCCTGGATAAAACACTCTTTGTGGGTCTGCCACCCCCTGCAGATCGGCTTGCCATCTTAAAAACTATCACAAGAGTAAGTAAGGGAAATGGTTGGTTTTTGTGTATGTTTCTCATTTTAAATACAGACAAGCAGTAATTGAGGATACCTAATCACTTTCTTTTCTGTAGCTTTAAATATTTCCTCAGCCTGTATCTCCCAAAAGGTGAACTGGTTTTAGCAATTAATCGACTATCCATTCTTTTTATTTGATTGAAACAAAGAGGATATTTAAAGTTAAGTGCTCAACTGGTATACTTGCGATAACCACTCTAAGCACATTTCCCTATATTCTAGATCTTTGTTATAGTAGACTAATTGTCCTTAAAGGGATCTGAAATGAAATGAAACTTTTGGAGACAAAAAGTAGATAGATGTAGATCCGTTATAAATATCCAGAGAAAAATTGAATTTCAAACCTACAGTGTTGAGTTCAATTCTCCATGTTGGTGATGCCAACTTTCAATACCTGTGCAGTATTTGTAAAAATGTGTTGCTGTTTTTATAAAAATAGTAAGACATGAATACCAAATGCATAGAAGCAATCACCCCAAATCGTACTACCACAGAAATAACCCACATTAATATTAGTGCAGACATTATTCCAAACATCTTCATGTAGCATGAGTTGCTAGATGGGTGGGTGGTTGAGTAGATGAGGAATAATTTAGTTTAAGTAAATTACTTAAAGTTAACTTCCTTGAAGTTCAAAAGAAAACAGAGCTAAAGGAATTCTGGTAAATGTTCTTCTTCATAAAAGATTATTTCCTAAAGTATCACTCCAGGGGTTTTAAATTTTAAAAAGATTAGGAGAGCCAATAAGCACCTGCAGTCATTTTTTTTTAAGTTCACATTTTACTTTTGACAGTATATGTTTAATTTCTGTCTGAAAATTGGATAGTTAGGAGGATTCCTGTATTTTTTCTTCCACTTCCAGGTTTGTTCCCTGTGTATTTTTCTTTGTCCAGTGCCTTCACATTTCCATTCTGTTCTCAATTCGTATTCTTAGTTTCGTATTTAAGTAGATATAGTACTCACCCAGCACTTTGGCTTCAGCTTTTGTTTTCTGATTTCTTTATTTTGATTCACTTTATTTGGGTTGACAATATTCCATCTTCAGATTTATTCCATTTAATAGTTTGTTTATTCAGCTGTGTTCCTAGAGTTCTTTCCATGATTAAGAATGTCTACCTATTGTTTTATACTTGAATGACATAGTATCTGGGAGTAATTTTTCCTTGGTCACAGTCTCTCTGGCCTTTGTACTAATTGCACAGTGATTCAGACATTGCAGGCACCTGTAAAGATGTTTGGGGCCAGTCTATTCTTTTCTGCTTTCTTTCTTTTCCCCTTGGTAGGTGACTTGCTTCTTCTGCTTGGATCTCTGAAACATTCTTTGTCTCTGAAGCTCAATAACTGAAATAAGATGTCACTGTCAGTTACTTTCTCTGTTGCTGATGCTAGTAGTAGGGGGATCACATTTGAGTGCGGAGGACCTAAAATTTGGTGTGCCTTTTAGTTCTGTAGGCACAGTTCTTCCTTCAGGGAATTTTTCCATGTTGTGTGTCTGAATACTACTACTCATTCATTACTAGACTTATTTCTTCAAGGTCACCAATTGTTCCTATATTGGGTCCCCTTTGTCTTCCATACCTTTTTTCTAGTTGCTTACACTTTGCCTTTTCTGCTGTATTCACCATGATAACTTGTCTTGTCTCCTTTTTTCTTCCCTCCCTCTCTCCTTTCTCTCATTGCCAAGCTTTCTCCATCTTGATGGTTACTCCATCCATATGTTCTCTGTTCTAGTAAAGTGTGGGTGAGTCCTCTCATCCTTTCTCACTACCTGGAATCAGTTTTCCTACCACTCACACATTACAACTTGAGTCATGGTTAATTGGTTTGTACCCACATTTGTATGACCCAGGTAGAAAAGGTTCCTGAGCTAGTACTTATGTTAACCCTTATGAGGAAGCCTGAATTTACTCTCCCCTAAACGATGCTGGATGAACTGTGTTAACACCTGCACCTGCTCCATCCATCCAGAAGCCATCTCATGCCCCTGGCTGTGCCACGTGGCTCCCCAGACAATGGCATGCCTTGGCACATCTTCCTGACTGTGCTGAAATTCTTTGCTGGTGTGTCTGATCATCTTTCTTTAACTTTTCCTTGGGTTTTCTTCTCAGGCTGTTTCTGTCCAGTTTAGAATGTTAAAGGAAATTTACAAGATCTTGCCAACTTCTTTCCTCAATGCTGCTTCCCAGGAATGTAGACCTTACTACTAGACACTCCAGAGTTCTTTCCTTGGCACCCACTTTTCAGCATTTACAACATGAAGGTTTACTCCTTTCTTTATTTGGTTGCCACTGTAAATTTTTTAACATTACTTTTTTCTTCTTAACATTTTCTCTCTACGCTGATAAAGGATGATTTTGTGAACCTACTTCACAGGGCCATCGTTAGTTAAAACTGCATATAGCTGCATTCATAACTACATCCCAAAGGAGGGAGAATAGGTTAATGAGTTTTGTAGGTTTCACAGACCTCATAGACAGCAGTATGAAAGATACCTTGGGGGAAGGGAAGCTCAGGGCAGTAAGTGCAGCGTGCAGGCACAGAGGCAGTGTTGAGAGTAGCCAAGAGGACATGGGTGTGAGAACTACTCCAAGGTTTTAGTTAACAAGACATAGGATCAACTGTAGAGCTGAGCATAAAGGACAAGTAAGGTGAGCTCTTAGTTTGGGCAGCATGGAGAATTGGTGGTGGTATCATACCACCAGCATGAGGTGTCTGGGAAGGACTAGGAAGATGCTGTTTCAGTTCGGGGTGCTTGGGTTTCAGCTAAACAGAGATGTCTCTGAGGAAGGTGGTTCTCTGGTAGGAATGCAGGAGACTCCTCTGGCCAGGAGTCTTGTGTGTCATCATATAGCTGGGGATGAAAGCCAAAAAAACACAGGGCTGTAGTTCAGTGGTTCTCCACCTAGGGTAATTTTATCACCACCAGCAACCCTACCCACCCCAGAGCAGTATCTGGGGACATTTGTTTATCACCAGGGCAGGGAAGTGATGGTGCTCCTAAACATTTCGTAACCTCAAAACAGCCAACAGTGAAAACCGTCTGGCCCAAAATATCAGTAATGCCAGAGGTAAGAAACCCTGCTTTGGGTGTACATGCTTGTTTCTCTGTACCAAGCAAGTTTGGTGATGAATGCATCATGGCATATCTGTCCTTTCCTTGGCTCTGTCCTTAGAACAAGATTCTGTTTGCTTTGGTTAACATGTGTGTGAATGTTCACACACAAGCACACAGATAAAATCCTAGTTCTATAATTTCTTACAGTCATTATAACATGATATTTTCACACTTGCCCCTGGGATGTCACTAAATTAAAGGCAAAAATTGGTGTGACATTCATTTCTGGACATGCCAGATACAAGGTATGTGATATTCAGGGTCTTAACAGATTTGGATCCAGAGAAATGATTGGCATTTTTTTCCAGACATGTTTCACCCACTGTATAGCCCTCAATACCTCAGAACAACCCTGAAAATTTCTGGGCTGTTTGCCAAAATGATTAGCCCTCAGGCTATGGGGTAAATGCCCAAAGTACCCCACTTCAAAAATAGAATTAGTAAGAAAATAAGGTAGAATGTTAACCTGTATGAATGATCTTTTAGTGAACAAGTATGTATTATAAACTAATATATCTCTGATTGTGTGTATACTCTGGGGAAATAAGAAACATAGTCTTTAATCTACAAGGAGTGTGTCTTCCAGATGAAAACCTAACACAAAGTTTTTATCAAACAAGCATATCAGTTCATTCCTGGGGAGGGGAGAAAAATGAGGCAGCTGCATGGCTGGGCTGGGTGCTGGGGGCGACACGTTGTACGCAGTTCCTACTTTGCTGGTGGCCTCTGGTCAGAGACCCCCAGCAGCACGGCTGCAGTGGACTGCTGTGGGTTTGCTCCCAGCAGTTGGGGAGACCCCATCCAGTAGAAATGTGGATGTCTCAGAGGATGTTAGGAAGGACTTCAGTGGTCCGTGTTTGTGTTAGATTTGGGAAGAGTTGAGGGGGCTTTCTTCTGAATTGTTTCCAAAAAGCAGACTCAAGTCTGTGATCAGCATCTCAATACATCCTGTCTAGATAGATCAACCCAGGGCCAGTGCTGTGACTGGTAAAGATGCAGCAGTCACTGTGTTAGCCAAGATGGGAGTGTTTGATTTTTGTGGCTTGAATGTTGTCACATTTTGTCTGTGTTCAGACATGATTGTGGAGAGGTCGTGTGAGTGTATCAGGCCACTTCCTGAGTGTCAGGAATTGCTTTTCTGTTTCAGTTGCCTTATGTTTCCCGATTTCCTGTCATTAGTATATATGTATATATGGGGCAGGGGTCTGGGGTGGAGGGGTGTTATTTTGTTTTGTTAAGGAATAGTTAACTGGCATAACTGGAGGTTTAAGAGGAAGAGGCTAGAAGTAGAGAGAAAGGCGCTTTGGGCAACTTCCAGGAACAAAGTTGTGATGGAAAGAAAAGAAAAAGAAAAAATGACATTTTGATTAAAAAATCAGTTTGACTTTAAAAACAGCTTTTTGTAGGATGTGGTTTACTTCCTACACTTCTCAGCATCTGTCTGTGCTGAAGACAAAGGGTAGCTTTTGGCAGTTGATTCTCACTGGCCTTAGAGTGTATTTTGCTTCAGGCGGCTCAGGAGGGGTACTGGTGCTGGCCTGGGAGCCAGGGCTCTTCTTGGCCCCTGGGACAGCCAGTGACCGTCCGCTTACCATCCAGCTCTCCTCTCGGGGACTTGTTTGGGTCTAAAATGAAGAGTTCTGGAGAAGGACACTGGTGATGTGTTAAAAAAGAGACAGTGGGTCCCAAATGGAGTCACGCATGTTAAGGGCCCCACATCAGCAAACAAGGACTGAACACCCAACAGAACAGCACTTTCAGCCTCTCCCAGGAATGTAACCTTTAACCCATCGACTTGATGTTACCTGTCAGCGCCAGTGAGGAAATCCACCTGGCGACCCTTATT